TATGTGTGTGTAACGAGACTCATCCCATTTCCATCACCACTGCTCAAAATACAACTGGAGGGAGCAGAGTGGCCACAGTTTTAATGGCTTTGAACTGAAAGGGAGCAGGTTTAGATTAGTTGTCAGTAAATAGTCAGAGTAATTGTCCCTCAGTCAGCCAAGAAGGCCATGGATGGCTCTCAGGTTGCTTCAGGTAAAATCATAGAACCCCAGAGGTGGGAAAGAACCTCAGGAGTTTCTCTTGTCCAACACCACTCCTCAGAGCAGGGGCACCTGGAGCAGATTACCCAGGCCTGTGTTCAGTCAGGGTTTGAGTAAGGATGGGGACTCCACAACCTCTCTGTTTAGCCTGTGCTGATGTTTGACCACACTCACTGTCAAAAAAACCCATAAAAAACCACAAAACAAGCATGAAAGCCACTCCAAATCCCCCCAAAAATCACCTTTTTTTTTTTTTTTGGTAGTTTTTCAAGTGGAATTTCCCATATTTTCAATCCATTGACTCTTGTCCTGTCCCTGAGCCCCACCAAGAAGAGTCTGACTCCATCATATTTGCTGCTTTCCATCAGATATTTAGACACCTTAATACCACCCCCCTACACACACACATCCTTCTCTTCTCCAGACTGAACAGTCCCAGCTCCCTCAGCCTCTCTTCATAAACCAGATGTTCCCATCCCTCAATCATCTTCATGGCCCTTCACTGGATTTGCTCCAATATGTCCATGTCTGTCCTCCTTTTCCACTTCTTTCCAGTGTGCTCATGTCTCTCTCAGCCCAACTCAGCCTTTAAAACTTCTGACTTGTCTGAAGTGCTTGTTGTGGTTTAACTCCAACTGGGAACTTAAGCAGCACAAATGCACTTTCTCACCTCCCCTGCCAGGATGGTGGAAGAGAACTGGAAGGGTAAAAGTGAGAAAGCTCATGTGTTGACACAGGAACAGTGTAATAATTTTAATAATAATAATAATAATAATAATAATAATAATAATAATAATAATAATAATAATAATAATAATAATAATAATAATAATAATAATAATTTCTTCCATGCTGAAACTTCACCTGTCATTCCTACCACTACTAATTCTGCCCACCTGAGTGGCTCTAAATGGAGACTGGTGGGTGTAGGAGAACTCTTAAATGGTTTCTCCTGCTTGGTTTTACTTGCCAGTTTCCTTCCCAATCCAAGAAACATGGACCAACCCTTTCCTTGAAATGCTACATCTTATTATAATTAGGGCATGATTGACTTTCACAGAATATAGAAAGCAAAAAGTAGTTGCATGTTGTTAAAATACAAATTCATGCCTCTGGTAGGATGGATGTTTTTTTAGTTTGGCTTGAATGTGGTTGTTCCTTCATTTTGTATTTTATGTGATGAGGATAAAATTGTGATAAAATCTTTTTTTCTTCTTTTTTTCCCTCTTTTCTTTTTTCTTTTTTTTTTTCCCCCTGTGTTTAGTACGTTAGGAAATGCTTGTTCCAATTTGTACGAACTGCCTTCACAGTAAATTGGACAAGTGTCCCTGAGGAGCAGTAGACAAAAGCCCTGGGAAGTGCCATGGGGATGGGGAGGGAAATGCTTTTATTGCCAATCAAATTAAAGGCATTTAGATCTGCTCTTAAATTTCCCTGTAAATATATTACTGTGGGGTAAGAATGCAACTCCAGAGCTGTGTGAATAAAGGATATTTCAATGACTTAGTAGGATGGGGTGGGAGGTGGCTGTTGCTAAAAAGGTTGGTTAAGCTGAAACAAAATATTTCATTTTCAATTCTATTTTTCCTCCATTACGAGGAGAAAAAGATTTAAAATGGAAACATGCTCTGGAAAGGAGAAATCAACACGAAACATTTGGAGTGTTCCGAAAGCCCTCCCTCTCCCTCCCCTCCCCTTCCCACTCTGTTGGGGAAAAAAATAGACACATTCACTGTTTGCCAAAGCAACTCTTGCCCAGTTGTAATCAAGTCATTTTACAACATGGTGCAGACTTTCACTCCGTGTTTGTTGTTGTGTCCTGGGGAAGTTGTGGCAGTAAATGCTTCCACTTGCTTGTCTCTGAAGAGAAAGGGTGGGTGAGGATCAACCTTTGTACAGAGGCTGTTTTCAGACTCTTTGATTGCCCCACATCCCTGCTTACAGGGGATTTATTCTGTAGGCACGATGGGAGGTAAAAATAAAAAGATAATTCCTTTTCCCTGCCCAAAAACTTTCTTTTGACTGTCTTCCATGTGCCCATATTTTCCCAGGTAAGAGTGTTGCTGGGTCTTGGGTTGGTTTTTGTGGTGACACCTGGGAGAGGTGAGGTTTGTTCCCAGTCTGCTGCAGTCACCACTCCTCAGGTGAATTTTCCACAGTTTCTTGGGGTGTTTTGTGGTAACCATGAAGAATTTGCATCGTGACATCATAGAATCATGGAATGGTTTGAGTTTGGGGGGATCTTAAAGACTCTCTAGTTCCACCTCCTTGCCCTGGGCAGGAACACCTTCCACTATCCCAGGTTGCTCCAAGTCCTGTCCATCCTGGCCTTGGACATTTCCAGGGATGAGGCAGCCACAATTTCTCTGGGATAACTGTGCCAGTGACTCATCACCCTGTGAATTCAGAATTTCTTCCAAAAAGCTGATCTGAGCCCTCCTCTCTGTCAGTGTAAAGCCACCACCCTTTGTCCTGTCATTCCATGCCCTGCTGAAAAGTTCCTCTCCACGTCTCTTGCAGACCCTCTTTAGGTACTGCAAGTTGCTCTAAGGTCTCCCAGGAGAGACAAAAACTGCAGAGTGTATTTCCACAGAGCCTAAAGTTTTACAGTTTCACGGGGTTGGCATGACAATTGTTGTGTTGCTGATTGTCCTGCAAACCCGTGGTTTACAAGTTTGCTGTTTGGTTCCTCTTGTTGGCCCCATTTTCTGTCTCCTGAGTGCACACACACAAATACACTCCTCCTCCTCCTCTTCCTCTCCTCTCTGGCTGCTTGGGCTCTCACAGGTTTGGTTTCCATAAGTTTGGACCGCAGGCTGTTTCCCTGAAATGAGGGATTTATGGCCTGGGGGCACCTGCAAGCCTCAGATGCCAATTATATGAGTACCTGGTACACCGAGGCCGGGAGGGGAAGCTGCACTCTGGATTTTCTCCACTTTTTATGGCTCTGGCTCCCAACCCTTGCTGTCTCAGGGCAGTTGCACTTTCATCCTCTTTCATGTGCCTTGCCCAATTAAGGCAGGATGGTGAGTGATTCCTTTTAGTCCAAGAGTTTCCCTGTCTGGCGAATCTCAGCAGTAATTTTTTTTTTTTTGGTTAGTTTTGAAACTCTGAAAGAAAAAAAGGAGAAGGGAGTACAACAGGTGCCTGAGGCCACTGGACTGTTCTCAGCACAGTGCAGAACTGGGAATTTCTGATGCTCTGCTTTCCCTGGAGAACAAACCAAAGGAATGCTTGCAAGTACACGGCTCTGCCAGTGCATCCCAAAAGAGGCTTTAGCCTTTTCCTGAGGTATTTATCAATCCACACATCAGAGCATCGTGCCACATGTGTCACAGAAACTGGAGGGCACAAAAAAAGGATCAGAGAGGTGGAGCACATCTGCTGTGGAGACAGGCTGGGAGAGCTGAGGTTGTTCAGCCTGGAGAAGAGAAGGCTCCTGGGAGACCTTATTGTGGCCTTTCAATACTTAAATGGGACTTATAGGAAAAAATGGGAACAGACTTTTCAGCAGGGCCTGTAGTGGGTAATGCTTTTAAGCTAAAAGAGAGTAGACATGGCGTAGATATAATGAGGAATTTTTTTCTTATGGTGAGGGTGGTGAAACACTGACACAGGTTGCCCAGAGAGGTGGTAGATTCCACATGCCTGGAAATGTTTAAGGCCATGTTGGATGGGGCTCTGAGCAACCTGATCTAGTGGAAGGTGCCCCTGTCCTTGGCAGTAGGATTGGATGATGTGACCTTGAAATGTCCCCACCAATCTAAACCACTCTGTGATTCTGCCACGGCACTAAAGGTGCTGCAGTGGTTGTAGGAGAGGGTGGTTTGTTGGCTGAGTTAGTTTGCTTGTCCTTCAGTCAAAAAATGGCATTTATATGTCAGAGCAACCCCCTGCATGAAGGGCAGGTGGTATTCCCAGTCACCTCACACCAATGTGTCCTCTCCTTTGGACTCTCCCAGAAGGCCACACTGTCTTTTACCTTTTTTTTGGTGGTATTCACACCTGTTTGATTTGGTTTGATTTGGGGTTTTTTTTCATAGCCTTCGTGTGAGAAAGCAGTAGCTGGGTTTGGTCCTGTAGCGCTTTCCATCATCATCTCCATGCCTTAGACTTGAGCTACTCTTCCCATCAAAGTCTTGGGACACCGTTGATTTGCTGGAGGCTTTCTGTGGCCGTGGTGAAACCCTGTGGATGGGAAGGTGGGAAGGGGGCATGGAGGAATCTTTCTCTGACAGTGCTACATTGATTTCATCCTGCTGCCGCTACCTTAGTCCTTGTAGTTTTTTAAATTTTAATTTATTTTTTTTTAACCAGCAAGGAAAAATAACTCTAGCTCCGGTATTTTTACTGGAAGCCCAGGAGCTTATGATATAGCAGCAAACTGTACCTTTTGAGAGCTCATCAAGCCTGCAGTGTGATGGATGGACTCCCAGCCAGCTGTGTACTGGTAATGTTCCAGAAGACAGCATTACCTGTTTTTTGATTGAGTGCTTAGTCTTTGCCCACCAGCTCAGGATCTCAAAGCACTTTGTGGGCAGCGAGGAATTAAAAGTTGCCCTTTAAGAATGCAGAAAATAAGACACAGGGGAGGTCAAATGACTGGTTTGTCCCCTAGATCGTTTGTAGCCCAGAAAACCTGGATTTTAGTGCTTTTAATTTTTTGCAGGTGGACATCCTGGAGTTTGGAGGTTGCCCTGTATCTTTTATTTGTCCTTTCAGTCCTCTTGTTTTCTTAGACTACTGGGGTTTAACTGACTTTTAACACGGCTGTGTCTGTCTTTTTCTCTGTTTTTTAGGTCTGAAGTGCAATCCCACATCCATCACTATCTAGAAAATGTCTTATGGATCCATTGATGGGAGTGGGTTTGGGAGCAGGAACCCATTTGGAGGCCCTTCGAGACAAGGCTATCAACCTCTCGGTAAAGTATCGATCCCTTGCTGGAATTTATTCTCCCTGACTCCCTGAGGACTGAAGTTTTCCTTGCTCAGGTTCAGCGTGGCTGGTGTATAAATACCAAACTCTCACCAGGGGTCATTTCTGATGCTGATTTTCAGAGGTGGAAACCAAACTTGTTGAGTTTGATTTGTGTGATGAGGCCCAACATGTTTCTGTGCTCGGGGTTTGAGGGTGCAGCTAATGAGGATTCTGGAGGAATTTGGGGGGATTAAAAGGAGAAATGTGGAGTATTCTCTAGGCCTGCTTGTGTCTGTCCTCATCTCCTCATCACCTTTGCAATAAGTTGGCCTAAATGGTTGATGTGGGGCTGGATGTGGGTGCAGTGATGGTGGAGGTAGGTGGGGAGATGTACACAATGCAGTGGGCTGTGCTTCCCCGGACAATAATCTGAGTGCTGTGGAGTGGAGGCTGCTTGAACCTGGGAAAGGTGCAAAAACTTCCTCTGGAAATGCTGAAACCGCAAACAATGGCTTCCAAATGGCTGTGGATTCTTTCCTGGTGGCATGTTTTTAAGCAGAGACCAGATGTACTCGCCTTACCCGTCCCCCCACCCCACTTGCCCCTGAGGACTCAAGAAATGCTAAAGCAGAAAGGAAAAAGCCCCCAGGCGCCAACCTGCACATCTGAATTGGTCCCCAAGGCAAACCTGCTCTTCATGAAACCAAATTCATTGTGTAACTGCCATAATGTGGAGCACAGCTAATGGTTAGAACCTCCTGATTTTGTGTGTTGAAGGTGTTGACTCTGCTGTGTCCCATTCCTGACCTGGGCAGGTTGTAGGAGAGATCCTTTGCCAGACCTTGGGTAGCACAGAAGGTTGTCCCTGTTGATGTGAGGCTGCAGGTGGAAGGTGGGTCTCATCCTGCCCAATTCTGAGCAGCATGGGAAGGCAAAGGACCCACATCTGCAGCTGCCCAGACGTGCATCAGACCCCAGTCCAAGTGGAAAGTTGCTGTAGGGCTTGTTTGGGTTAATCTGGTCTGGCTTTCAGCAAGTCTTGTTAACTGGGACACATCCTTCATTTTATTTTGGTCCTGGGCCTGGCTTGCACTGGAGGATGAGGCTGCAGGGCCTACAATGTGGACACAACTGGGAGTTGAGATTTTTGCAGAAGCATCAGGAAAGGGGATCATGTAACATCATTTTGCATCAGGGAAGAGAACATCACCCCTCTCTTCACCGGCCTTTGATTTCAGCTGTGCCTTTCGCTGATGCAGCCTGACTTGGTTTTCATGTTTTGAGGGTTGCAAATGTTCTTTGTTTTGCAAATAGCTCTTCTCCCTGGATGGAAATACGTAGAAAAGCAGAGAAGTTTCTCTCAGTTTTCTGTTTTCTTATGAGTTTGGGTGTAATTATGATTTTTCTCTTTGAAGGGGGAGAAGGTATTGAAGTGAGTGAGAGCTGCCTGTTCAGTTGTAAATAGTGATTTCTAGGCTATTCTACAAGGCAAAATTAAAGGCATAAAAGCAAGGAAGAATGGGATACTTGGGCACAATCAAAGAGCCGTGAGAAAAGAGAATTGAAATGTGGACTAGACAAATGATGAATCTCAGTGCATTGTAGCTTAGGTTAGAAAAAACATGAATATTTATTGTGCTGTGTGAAAAGACCACTGGTTTTAATGCAAATGCACAGAATAGCTCAAGACACTTGCAGTCTCTAAATATTTGAAGAGATACCTCGTTGTGCCCAGCTTGCCCATCCCTTGGCAGTTACTGATGTGACACTGAAGTCACCCTCGGTGGCTGCAAAAAGCAGATGGTGGAGAAATATCAGCTTTTTTGGAACAGCCGTGGGCTGTTGCCTGCCCAGCTGGAGCCTTTTAACACATTGGCTTGTGGCTTGGAATTGAGGGCCGGCTTCCCCCCCACCCCCCGAATACACACATCATCTCAGGTGGCATTCCAATGGACACAGCTCCAAGGTTTTCCAGGGCTGATATTCCCAGCAAGCAAAAATTGGTTGGTCCCTTGGCTGGGTGTCCCTGGGGAAAAGGTTGCAAGGGGATGGACCTGTTTGCATTGGCCAAAAGGCAGCTTGGAGGTGTTTCCTTCCTGTGTGTCTCAATCAGAGGTGGGTTCGTTTGACCTTGAGAAAAGAGGGTTTAGGGGAGACCTTGTCACCGTGGCCCAGTATTTAAAGGGTGGCTACAAATAAGATGGAGACTCCCTTTGTGCAAGGAGTCACATGGAAAATATGAGGGGTGATGGGTAAAGTTGCTCCTGGGGAGATTCAGATGTCAGTCACTCAGGCAAGAGGAACATTTTTTGCCGTGAGAACAAACGGCCTTTAGAAAAATGTCCACAGGGAAGCGGTGGAGTTGTAAAATCCAGCTGGACAGGTTGCTGGGCCATCTTGTCCAGGCCGTGCTTTTGCCAAGAAAGGTTGGATCAGATGATCCTTGATGTCCCTTTCCAACCTGGCACCCTGTGGTTCTGTTCAATGTTCATCCCCACCTCTGTAGCTCCCCACGTCCCTTCACCGCGGGAGACCAACACGTCGAATGCCTTTTGCTGTAACATCCCCAAATATTGCCATTAATTAAGCATTAGGAAAGGGTAATGCAACACTAATCATCTGCCTCCTGCTTCTGGAAGATGGATGACTGGTTTGCTGAGGAAAAAAACTGCCCACTTATTAGATCATGGAATGGCTGGGACAAAAGAGCGTGGCCTCCCCGCCGGCATCCGTGTGTCTGCTCACAGCGGGGGCAGAGCTTGATGAGCACGCTGTGCAAGTGCTCTGAGCCTCTTCTTCTCTCTTTGAGTCAAATAAATAAATAAAAACAGGCACCAGACTCTCTGCAGGTGCTTCATGTCCAGTGGTGTGGTCCAGTGGTGTGCTCGGGCATCCAGCGGGGTTGAGGTACCACAGCAATAACAGTGATGGGGGTGGTACTGATTGGTTTGTAATATCATGAAAGAGCAAAGGAAAGGGGCTTAGCTTTTGTTTGGTTTTGTTTAATAAAGGGTGATACCACTCTATCCTTGTACCTGTCTGTCCATCTTGGGTCTGTTTCCTCCGTGCTCCGTCTGGATGTGCTCCTCAGGCTGGGAAAGATTAATTACTTGGAGGAGTTTCCCCTTGGCCCTGGACTGACTTGATGATGGACTTACAGCCCCTCGTCAGTTTAGCCTCATGTGGGGGTTAAACTTGCTGACCAGCCTAATTAGAGAGATCAACCTAATTAGAGAGATCCACAGGCCCCATTTGCAGCAGTTTGCAGGGGAACACCAAGGCAGTTTCTTAGGGAATATGATTTGCCTGGGATTCCTTGGTGTCAGACAACCCTAGTTCAAACTCTGGTTTTGATGGTGGATATCCAGGATTTCTTGTGGAAAACAAAACTGGTACACTTTATTATTATTATTATTATTATTATTTACTACTACTACTCCTATTGGAATTGGGAGAGAGAGAGTATAACTCAGCAGAACTGAAATCTTCTCCAGCCTTCACTAAGGAGCACCCTGAGGTGGGTCACAAGAGAGATCACCAGGATTACTTGGAGTATATCAGTTTTGGGGGATGACAGTGCCATTCAGCCACTTAAAAAAAAAAAAAAATAATTGTGGAGTGGCAAGTGGAGGCAGAAGCCATGTCCCTGCTTTGCAGCTGTGAGCTACAACCTCCTCCAGAAACATCTGGGTTTCATCTCCTCGTTCTGCTTCTCACAATCCATGGAAAAAACAAATATTCCCCCGTTTCCATGTAGGATCTTTTCTGGGCTTCAGCTGTGCAGTGGTGGAAAAGTAGGGAGTGGAAAGCTGTTCTTGTTTATAGTTTTGTTTTAATTCTTTTAACTGAGCAATTAAAAAAAAAGTAAACTTCAAAATATTTTTCTCAGTAATATGCCATGTCTAAAGATAAACAGACACAAAACACTACAAGGCAGTAGGAATTAAACCCTGGTTGCTTACAATTTTAATATGTGCAACATGCACTGTCTCCCCTCTTCAAGGTATCTTCCCAAAACCATCTTTTTTTGTGGGGAAAATTAACAAAACCTGCCTTGCACAAGGAGGCACATAGGTCAGGGGATTTAAATAGCTTGAATTAAAATGCCACAAGCCAGGACATTTTTAACACGGCTTTTATTAACCTTCCTGTAACCTGGGCTTTAAATGCCACGTTTGAAAAAGTGAGGTTAATCTCATATTCCAGCAGTGCCTCGTTTCCAGGTGTGCTCAAGGGACTGGTGGGTCACTGCTTAATTTTGCTGTGACTTCATTTAGGACCATTTTTCCCACAGTTTCTCCTGGAGATATTGCGTGGGACTCTGGCCAGAGTGGTACTCAAGATATATCCCACCTGAGTTTTTCTCCTTGTTGGATAAGGCTGGTTATCTTGACACAGAACAAAATTAGATTGGCCAGTGAAAGCTGTTCTTGGCAGTGTTCTCAGGGCATAGATCACCTAATTATCATCTCAATACTTAGCAATTGTGGAATGAATTTTTCTAACTTCTTTTTTTTTTTTTTTTTTTTTTTTCCCCTGGAATTGGGTCTATAATTTTCTTTGCTCTCCTCTCTCTACCACTGTTTCCTCTCTGGAGCACCAACCAGCTCTTGGGAAAGTCACATGTCAGAGCTGGAAATGCTCTCTCTGTCCTGCCATGGAATCGTAGAAACATTTAGGTGGGCAAAGACCTCTCAAATCATAAAACCAACCATTATTCTAGCCCTACCAAGTCCACCACTAAACCACATCCCTGAGCACCAGATCTATGCATTTTTTAAATCCCTCCAGGGGTGGTGACTCAGCCATTTCCCTGGGCAGCCTTTTCCAATGCATGACAAGCCTCTGAGTGCAGATTTTTTTCCCCAAATATCCAATCTAAACCTCCTCCTCCTTAGCAGATGAACTGGGGAGGAATCCACTGCCGACTTCACATCTCCATGTTGCAAAGTGCAGAAGCAACAGAACAAACTCTGAACTACACAAGGAGTCCCCCTGAGGTTA